GTTTAATATTGTTGTGATTTGACATATAGTAAATTGAATTAGTCGAATAACTGGATTTTATCTGACAAATATAAGAAGAAATTTAAAAAATAAATTTAACACCGTTTTTTTAACAGTAAAGGAAGAATATTTCAAATTGGAGATAAGTAATATCGATCAGTTAAAATAAAACGGATTGCTATATTATTATTATTTTCTTATTGCGTTTATATTTTGTAACTCTGACTATCATTGCAAATAAAAAAAGGTTAAGTATAAGTACGAATCTCCTTATATTTCCTGAGAAATAAATGTATATCTATTATGTTTCATTTTTATTTTATTTTCTGTTTTAAATATAATATATATATTGTGTAGGTCTGTTATTTTTCGAAGGTTCTGAACTTATTGGATCAGTGTACACCAGTTCAGAACTTACAGTGGAAAAAGAACAGACCTTATGCAATAAAGTAGAAAAAGAGAAAAGGTTACAACAGAGAGAAGAGGTGAGATGGAATATCAATGCCTTGATTGGTTACATACCTCGCTCGCGCATGTGCAGTTCATTTTTATCCACGTTGGCATCAAAGGTGCCGACAGAGAGTTGCGCTACTGTATATACTGTGATTGCAGTCTGTGATCTGTCACAAATTATTTGCAATTTGGAGCAATTGTTATTGTCTGTATATATTTTATGGAATTCTGCGTGTGAACGATGGCGTACGTATCTTAAAGAAAAGTTTTACAAGATTAAAGTAGATTAAAGTTGATGAGTATATATAATAACAGGGATGTGTAGAGTATGGTTGTGTGAGGAAACCATATGTTTTGTTAGTTTAAGCATGAGGTATTGTACAACGTATTAATGTAACATTTAACGTGTTACAGGTCCAAAGTCACATTCAGAATCACTCTCACGTCCGATCCTAATCTGCCATATAAAGTGTAAGTGGCTGTTTGAAAAATAGAAAGTGTATCTTTATTGTGTGTGTTTGTGTATAGAATATAACATGCAAGTCGCTGGCTCTGAAATCTTTAAGACTATCGATGCATTTCTCGCGCTACTGCAGAGCCCAGCTATTAACGAACAAATGACTGTAGAAAATGCAACACAAGCTTTCAACTGTGCTCGCTTCATCGAAATCACCATTGCCCAAGTGCAAGCTGAAAACAAAACATTGCCCTTTGAGAAATGTTTACGTCGGAAGTTAGAGAGAAAGCTATTTCTACACAATCAGGATATTGCGTGCTCTGATCTGGAAAAAGCTTGCGATAAATTATTGGAACATTATTTGAAGGACAATCGTATTTCTACAGAAATAGTTGATGAATATCTAAAACTGTACACTCAACATTTTGGACAGGAAAGATTAAATGCCTTTCTAAATCAAGTAATAAGCAGTTCTATCGCTACAAACATGATTATAGATTCTTTAGGAGAATTAGGAATACCATTGTCAGGCATGGAAGACGAGGCATTGATTATGTCATGGCAAATGGCAATAGCTAATGGTGACCAAGATGAAGTAGTAAAATGCATAAATAAAATGTTAATTGATGGTCATGTTTCAAGACTTGTACACTTAACGGTTGAATCGGATGACAATACAATTAAAGAATTGGTTGTACAAACTTTTACTTCAAAATTAACTGACTATGATCCTGAAATATGCGTAGCTTTAGCAGATACTAAAAAGAAATCACTTTTAAGATTACTTCAGGACAGTACTCGATTTTGCACAGATTTTGTTGATGCAATATTTTACTTTGGCCGAAATATGTACCTCATAGATGGAAAGTGGTGCTCAGATTTTAAATTTGAGTACAAACATCTTTGCCAAATAGTAAAAATTTTGTTAAACGGTCCTCGCGTAATTCGTAAACAAGTATACAACAGAATATCTACTGTTAAAACTCAACCAGATAGTGAGATATGGAGTAATGTTGAAGCAGATATCTTGAATTGAATTTCTAGATTTTTTTATTTTGTAATATAAATTATACTTTGTATTGTCCTATAATCTATAATCATTCTATGTAATTTTTGCAAAAAGGAATAAAAACTTTCTACCGCTTATAAATTTTGTTAACGAAATAATTATCAATCCTATATTAAAAGATATTTAAGATATTATGAGAAAAATATATTTGCTTTATATATTTGTAAGGCGATATTTTCCTTGTCAGTATGTAGTTTTGGCAGTGTCTCGTACAATAAGAAATGCATGTACTATTTTATTAATTGCAGACTTAGTGTACCAGAAAATACTCCATTTACTGCCGTATTAAAATTTGCTGCTGAGGAATTTAGAGTGCCGCCAGCTACATCGGCCATAATTACAGATGATGGAATAGGAATTAATCCTCAACAAACTGCAGGTAACTCTTAAAATATACATCTCTGTTTTATGTATACAAATATGAATCGTACAATTTGTACTTTCAGGAAATGTATTTCTTAAGCACGGCGCGGAACTCAGGTTGATTCCTAGGGACCGCGTTGGATATACTAGATAATTTATATAATATCGTATTTATTTTTACTGTATCTTTACATACTGTATCTGTTACATGCATAAAACAATTATTAAAAATTCTGAAATTATCGCTAGCAATATTATGAAATTGCATATATACATTCTATAAATTACTCAATTATAAAGTTACTTATTCAAATAAAAACATTCCACATGCTTTCTGAACTAATCGATGTCCAAATCGTTATAGTAAGCTCTACGGATTCTAACGTTAAAAAATTTTGTTATTCATATAATTAAAAAAAAATAACACTTGTATAAATTATACTTATTAGATAGAGGATACAGGGGAATCAGATATGATTAGAATTTTTGATAAAAAGGTTTTATAGCTGAAATACATGAACGTTATAAGATTGATATATAAAGGTACATCACCATATGATAAAATTATTTAGACAGCGATGATTTACAAAACAATTAGATCGAGTGGCGTGAAATATTCAGAGTTTTTTTTTTATTATGCATCTATCTCTAATCTCGTTCTGTAAAGAATCGCTTTATTATTCATAATCTGATCGTAAACGGATAGAGCTTGCTTGAAAACTGCAAAATGGTTACAAATCTGAATTGCGATTGCAATATATAACATATATAAATAAACAAAAAACATTACATCAAGATATGCAACGCTATCGTATCCCTTTCTTTTTATAATGCAATATAAAATCAGTAGTGCGGACAAGATATAAATGGCAACAACAAATCGAGTTTCGTCTTAAATATCTTTGACACAGAAAATTTCTTAAATATTTTCGAATGTTTTCTTACAGGTCTAAAATATACAAGATACAAAAAATACTACTAGTAATGAATTTTTGGCACTATGTTGATCAAATGTATTTGTATGCTCCGAAATATGAAAAGTAAAAAAAATTAGTTTATATTTTTGAATGATATACAGAGTATACCATTTCAATCAATATACTTGAATATCTCGAAAAGGAGTTTTTTCGAAAACTCTTTCAGAAAAGTTTTATGATTTCAAGGAGGAAAGAAGATGGTGACCTTAGTTGACCTTAAGAAAACGTCCTTAAGGTGTCAGGTCAAGATTGTATGAAGTTTTTGAAATTAAATCCCCCATTTTTTATTGCACCCTCTTGTAGCTTGTTTCAAGAGCTTTCTAAAACGCTATAATAAAATATTTTTTCGTACCTCGCCACTGGGGCACGGGTAGATAGAAAAACACCTTTATGGATAAAATTCGGCCAACGCTGTAATTCTTAACCAATTTTAAAATTTTTTTTTAATTTACTAGAAATTAAATGAGCTAAAAAGCCTGTTTTGCGTAAATTTTGAATATGGTCCAAAGTAAAAACTGCCGATCCAATGAAGTTAAAATTGTTTAAAAAATCTGGTGTTTTTTTTTGCAATATTGAACTACTTAGGGAGTGTCCCGATTAAATTTCGAAAATTGTTAAGATAACAACCACCTTAATATATATATATATATATATATACATATATACATACATACATACATACATACATGGTGTTTTATTTTAAGTGATATGGTCGATTATCTCGCGAATTGATGATTTTATTGAAAAATTTTTCCAACGAAAGTTGCATGGCTTGAAGGGGGACACATGATGGAAATGTGGATTTGACCTTGAGTGACATCAGGTCAACATGTCAACATCAGTTGTCAACATTAGATCAAGGTCATTAATGTTTTTTTAAATGGAAACCCCTATTTTTTATTACATTTCTTGTAGCTTATCTCGAGAGCTTCCAAAACACTATAATAAAGTTACTTTCCGTTCGGTCTTGCTTTAGTTGGCTGGATCAGCCCCGGTCTTGTCTTAATCGGCCGGATCAGTAATCGGTCTTGCCTTATAACTTAAGTATTTAACAAAAAGTAACTTTATTATAGTGTTTTGGAAAGCTCTCGAGATAAGCTACAAGAATATGTAATAAAAAATAGGAGTTTCCATTTAAAAAAACATTAATGACCTTGACCTGATTTTGACAAGGTCATTCAAGGTCAAGTCCACATTTCCATCGTGTGTCCCCCTTCAAAGCCATGCAAAATCATCGATTCGCGAGATAATCGACCATATCACTTAAAATGAAACACCCTCCTGTATATACGCATACATATATACATATATACATTCACACATATAACATTCAATTTTTACAAAGAAAAAAAAAGTATTTTATCGCCAATTACAAAACTTATTTTTGGAGGACATAGTACCATTATTTTTTATAACTTGTAAAAATATATATATAGACGAGATGAAATATTCTGATCTTAAAATTTTAATAAAAAGATTATCGCTTAATAAATTGGCAATTGTGTTATATTCAATATTTTGATAAGAAAGATTATTGTAAAAAGAGGATCAGTCATTTATTCTCCATTAATATCGCTTGAATGTTGCAGAATGTTCATTAACCCTTTGAGTCACAGCGTAACATATATATTATACCCTTTTTGGCTCTTTTTTTCTAGACTATTCCGAAGATTTCATCAAAATTAACGATTCTTTTTTCATTATTCACTATATTAATACTTAATTTCCACTTCTATGTAGGGTAGAGCGGGACTAGTTGTGTGACACTTTTTCTTTAAATTATTATAAATCTTGACATAATTATAATAGATTAATGGTAAATGCTTTAAAACGTTGCATGTTCACACACATCTGGTTCAATAATTAAGTACTTATAAATCCTTAATATATCTCGTAAATAAGAAAAAATTACTTTAATTACAAGGGGATGCAAAGTGGACCAATATGCCCCATCTATGGAGCATGTTGAGCATCCTCGAAGGATAAGTTGAGCCACGAAGATAATCGAATTTAACGAGGTTATATATTATTAAAAACATGAAAGGATTATGTATATATTAATAAAATTTTTATTATTTGCATCTTAAATATAGTAATTTGTAATATTCTTTCTTTTTAAATGCTTTAATTAACAAAATTAGAAAAACTAAAATCTTTACTCTTTATAACAATAATTAAACGTAAAATATATGTTTAATCGTTAACATAGAATAAAAAGCATTAATAAAGAGATTTCATTTAAGTAGCTGAGTTTATAAGGTTAGTTATGAGATACTGGCTCAACCAAAACCCCATATCGGTGTTGACCGAAATACTTCTTTATAACTGAAAAACCTTAAATAAAATAGCAACTTAAACATTAAAGTTAAAAAATATGATAATAACTTATATAAAAAAAATACATTTGATTATTATCAATCGCTTTAATTATCATGTAAACCAAAAAGAATACTCACCTAATAATTTTACTTTTGATATACCAAAACGAAAAAGCGCACGTATTTGGCTGTTGACAGCCGGACACAGATTATTGTATTAAGGTACAGTAATCTCTGTTTTTTTACATTACGCAAGACGTATCTATATATATTTTGGTTATTTAGATATTTGCATTTGACCAACTTGCCCCTATGCTCAAATAGCCCCGCTCTACGCTACTGATTTTTCCATTTTGTTTGTATTTTTTTGTTATAAACATTTTAACGCAAAAAAATGCCTTTTTTTAAGTTAAATTCATTTGTGAAAAAAGGCCCTATGAACATACTCATTTTTTGAATTATATTTATGTTTTTGAGGTCGCTGATTACGAATGTGCATTCGGTTTATTTTACAAATTTTATTTCAATACTCTTACGTTTGTTTTATAAATTTTTGTATCATTGTATTATTGTATTTCAACATTTGGTAATTATTTAAAATACGGGTCCTACTCTAAAATCTTAATAAGAATGTACTCATTCGACGCGTTTTCATTCAAAATGAAGGAATCTGGCAAAAAAATACGACGATCGGTCTCGTGAACCGAGATATTAAGCATTAAAGTTCGATATTTTAGAGATTAAGATATCTGTCATTCTGACGCGCTGCAGCGCTATGTATATGTAAGGTCTGTTCTTTTTCAAAGAATTCTGAAATAGTGCAATAAGTTACAGTGAAACAAACTACAGCTGTCTCACTCTTAACTTATTGCGGTGGTCACGTGTCTAACATCAATTAATTCCTAAAAATAAATATTCTCTACTTTAATTACACAAATTCTTGGCTTTACAAACACAAATTCACTGCTTTAAAAATTAATACAAATTCATTGTTTTAAAAACACAAAATTACTGCCTTAAAAATACAAAAGCCTGCTTTAAAGACACAAAAGCACTGCTTTATAAACAATTCACTGCTTTAAAACCCAAATTCATTGCTTTAAAAACAAAAATTTACTGCTTTAAACACAAATTCATTGCATTAGCAGTGAATTTGTGTTTTTAAAGCAGTGAATTGTTCATAAAGCAGTGCTTTAAAGCAGGTTTTTGTGTTTTTAAAGCGGTGATTTTGTGTTCTTAAAGTAGTGAATTTGTGTTTTTAAAATAGTGAATTTGTTTTTAAAGCAGTAAATTTGTGCTTGTGAAGTAGAGAGTTTGTATAATTAATACAGAATGTATAATTTTTCAGGATAGAATACGAATTGTGAAAATCAAGAATTAATTTGCTTTTTAAGCCTTTGCATGTGCTTTGCATGCCATATTGTGTTCGCCATCTTGGATTTCAATTTTTTTAGAATCTGATTATAGCCCGGTATTCATAGTCAAATCTTATATTCAAGACCGTCTTAAGTACAGTCTTAAGATGTTACGAATCAGAGGCCGGTATTCATAGTCAGTTCTTATATTCAAGATCATCTCAAGTTCAGCCTTGAGGTGTTACGAACCAATAAGAGAGCCACATTAGCGTATTAAGACATTACTTAAGACGATCTTGAAATAAGAATCGACTATGAATACCGGCCATAGACATGAGCTGCGTTCTGTTTCACGCATGATGTGCATGATGCATCATTTATCTTTGTTGTTCACCGAATATTAAATAAGGATAAATGATGCATTATGTACATCATGCGTGAAACGGAATGCAACCTAGGTAGCGGCCTAAACGTAGGGTGTAAACTAGGGCTGCGTTCCGTTTCACGCATGATGCATCTTTTATCCTTGTTATTCTCTGAATGTTAAACAAGGATAAATGATACATCATGCATGAAACGGAACGCAGCCT